ATTGTGACTGTTGTATATTTTAATATGTTGTTTTATGTATTATCCCCCCCTCCCTTGTTTTATTGTAAGCCGCCCGGAGTCCTTCGGGAGTGGGCGGCATACAAAATCAATAAAAACTAAACTATAAACTATAATCCCACCTCTGGTTTAATCCCCCACCCCAAAACATCACGGTGAAAAGTTACTTGCATATGTGTCTTAAATTGGGAGTATATCTTACTTTGCAACATATACAGTTTATTCAGCACAGAAAACACCTGCAGTGAAAGAACTGCAAATGCCTCATACAGTCTTTACACAGAAGTAAAGAGGACTCCGTGAGGGGACTGAATGAATACCGAGCTTCAGCTGGATTGGTTTTTTTTTAGAAGGGGAGGAGTTAGCATATTTATCTCTGAGGCACTAAAGTTCCTCACACCTTCTCTTCCTTCTGATTCCTTTACTTTTCACACCCAGAGAAAATAAGAATCTAATTCTCAGAGTAGAAATGTGTGGGTGGTTAAAAGGAATAAGGACCCTTACCATCACTTCTGCCAAATCAGTACCCTGATAGGCAGCATTCAGAAAAGCATTGGGTACAGTTCTAGGGTATAAAAGGTTAGGCAAAACATCCGCTTTTCTTACCTTGATTGAAATAAATGATCTTGGGCAAGTGGCCACCTCTTAAGAGCCTATGACCACAAAAGAAGGTATAATTTGTTACTCATCAACCTCAGAAAGATTCAGTTGACTTTCTTCAGTTTTGTGTGGAATATCAGATAGAACTTCCATTGTGACTCATTATAATGTTCTTTTTCACAATTGCTACAAGCACTGGATATTATTGGGGAGATATTATCCTGCTTCCAGACAGGGTCATTTGTTTTTAATTTAGCAAAAGAATTCCTGTACTTTGTTGAATGGGAGAGACTTCTGGGAAATACCAGAATTGTAATCTAAATTGGGAAATTGAAAAAGCATCTCACAGGAAGACCGAGGCAAATTACCCCTGTCTTCTTACCAATAAAATACACAGACATGGATATGAAGCGACCAGGAGTCAAAATTAATTCAAATGAGACTTCATGTTTACTTCGATCATTCAAGAATAAGGTTTTTGTATAGCCTCAAGAAACCTGTTTTAAAAATATTTAATCTAGTCCCACCTACTCCCATTTATTTGATTTTTTCCAAAGTCTACCAATCTGGTTCCATTGTCTTTTTTTTAAGGCCAACATCAGATATTAATCACTGTATTTCTCAGCCATTTATTCAGCAGTCATGGGGATTTTCAATTATTGAATAAAGTTTATTTATATAGCTCCTACCATGATCTTGTAGGGGCGTGGTGGCTCAGTGGCTAAGATGCTGAGCTTGTCGATCAGAAAGGTCGCTGGCTCTTTGGCTTGCCACTTAGAGTCGGGAATGACTAGCACATATGTGTGAGGGGAATTTTTACCTTTACCTTTATTTGAAACATATCCTGTGGTTTTTCCTTGAAAAAGTAAAAGACTTAAGGATATGCAGTATTTCAACTGCTGGAGCAATTTGACAGGATCTTTAGCCTCAATAAACAACCTATGCTGTAAGGACATTGTTATGCTTAACTAAGTTTCATGGTATAAATGAACAGATACTCTCAACCAGAGTAGGAATTGATAATCCATAAGAAATACATTTTAATATATTTCCTGTTTTCACAGGGATGCCTGACAAGGAGAATATGTCTAATAGTAGCCTCTGTTCAATCTCAAAGAACAGCAATAAGGTAAATAATTTTGTTCATTTTGTTGGGGGGGGGAGAGAAGTAATGCTAGGCATCACTATGCATCTAACTAAATTTATTTCTTGAGAAAACAATTCAGGTAGTCCTCAATTTACAACAGAATGTTTAGTGACTGTTTGAAGTTACAATGTCACTGAAAAGAGTGATTGATTATCATTTTCCACACTTAAGACCATTCAGCATTCCCATGGTCACATGATCAAAATTCAGCCGCTTGGCAACTGACTCAGAGTTGTGACAACTGCAGTGTCCCGGGGTCATGGGATCACATTTTGCGATCTTCTGGCAAGCCAAATCAATGGGAAAGCCAGATTCACTTAACAACCGTGTTACTAAATTAACAACTGAAGTGATTCACTTAACAAATATGGTTGTCAAATGGGACAAAATTCACTTAACAAATGTCTCACTTAGCAACAGAAAGTTTAGGCTCAATTGTGATCGTAAGTCGAGGACTACCTCTAATCAAAGCATAGAAATGCATCAACTGATATTTGTCAAGATTTGTATATTTTAATAAGAAAAAGGTCTACACATTTTCACCCATGGCAGAATAAATACATCAAAACACAGGAAATACCAATGTCACTATGGTTAATGTGGAGAATAAAAATAGACAAAGAGGAAAATACTCATTTCTGAACTTGCAGGAGTATTCTCTTTATATACAATTGATTGGAAAAATACAACCAAGCCAGTGATGATTAATTTTGACAGGATAAGCAACTTCCTTACTCTGTGGAAATAAGATATTTGCTGATAGAAAACATAAATTGATTCATGTTTAGTTCAGAAGATTCCGAAACTGATAAGCTTAACATGTCTAAATACCTAATACCTCTTGTATTAAAAACAATAGCAACAGGGCACTTATCTGGAAATCCAGCTCTATTATTAGATAGAAATCCAGCCCTATTATTAGATAGAAATCCAGCTCTATTATTGGATAAGAGAGATGATAACCACATGATAACTATCCACCCTATTACATGATATGGCACTGAATGCTGGGCAGCAACAACAGAGACCAAAAGCTATTTCCATGCCATGGAAATGCAAATGCTCCTTTGGATATTGAGCATCTCCCTTCTTGACCACATCAGAAATGACACTATTTAACAACATTTTGGTGTGGCACCAATTATAGAGAAGATAACAGAAGGTCAGCTTCACTGGAATGGACATGTCCTGAGAGCAGCACCTTCCACCGTTGCCAAGATTGCAAACCAATTAGAAGTCAATGGCTGACTTCTCTGACCCAAAACAGAGATGGCAAGGAACCATCAACAAAGATATGCAAGCCTCAGGCCTGCACTCTGGAGACGCAGCTGACCATGCAAAGTGGCGTTCAATGATCCGAAAAGCAGACCCTGCACTTGCGGGAATATGCTAGGAAGAAGAAGAAAGAAGAAGAGGAGGAGGTGATGACCACATCAGACAGCAGAATTGATGGACAAGGAAAAAAATTGATACTGGAAGAAAATTGTCCTGCTCCATTAAACTGGTCTTTGCCCTCAAGCATGAGAGCCGATGTGGCACAGTGGTTAAATGCAGCACTGCAGGCTACTTCAGCTGACTGCAGTTCTGCAGTTCAGCTGTTCAAATCTCACCGGCTCAGGATTGACTC